TGCATGGTTTTACCTTCACGGCTAGAAAAGGCTGGAAAAAGTCATCTACAGGTGTGAACACCAATGCTTAGAAGTCAGCTTGACAGGAACATCTCGTCTGATTATCCGAACGGGAGATGTACCCTCCATGATGCAGTCCCGTGTTGGACCTCTCTCTTTCCCTGGCGAGGACCATCTAAGCATGTTCTCAGAAGACTCTTCAGAAAGTCCTGGTGGCCTTCATCTCCCCTGTGGAAGAAGAAATGGAAAACACGCCCATATTTTGCCCTTTTATCCACCACTCTCCCTAACTCCCCCACCCAGAGTCAGTACTCTGCATATGGCTACACATTTGAGCACTGCTCGATAAAACAGGCATCTATGGGCAGCATGAAATCTTTATTATAAGGGCAATAAAATCCATGGAAGAACAGCAAGCCAGAAGTTAATCAGGGCGACAGTCTGAAGGGCCATTCATGCAGGAATGCCATGAAAATGGCCATCCTTAAAGCTCTCCCAGGGGCTGAAAAGAAAACAAGAAGGCATCTTGGAGAAGAATGATGCTGTCCAGCTGTTTCTCTTGGCCACTTAACGGCTACACCTCATGCACACCTGCACACAGGCCCTGAACCCAGTCAATCCAGAACTTGGCATATGGGCGAGGAACACGCCTGAACTCAGCTCAGCTAGTCAGGAATGAGTTTCACTTGGTTCTCTAGTGGGACTGCAAGTGGTGGAGTCTGGAGTAATTGAGTCTCTGTAGAGTGGGAAAGCCACACAGAAACACAGCAAAGGGCTTGCTTTCCGACTCCTTGGGAGAAAGCTTTGGGATAAAGTCGGGGAGTCAGTGCCCAGGGGAGCCAGCTGGCTAACACAGCAGAGGCTCAGGGAGTCCAGGGATCTAGTGTGATTTGACTGAAGCCGTGTTGAATCACAACTATCAGAAAGGTCGCGAATAACCCTGACCTGCTTTCCCTGCATGGTTCCTGCAATTTCAGTGGCACATGGGGCTTAGCAGCTGAACCCCAGTGCTGTGAATGTTAGAAATATGCCTGGCATCATTGCTGTCAGCTGAGACATGAGCGGGCACAGTTTTTTAATATTTATTTACTTATTATGTATACAATATTCTGTCTGCATGTATGTCTGCAGGCCAGAGGAGGGCACCAGACCTCATTACAGATGGTTGTGAGCCACCATGTGGTTGTCGGGAATTGAACTCAGGACCTTTGGAAGAGCAGGCAATGCTCTTAACCACTGAGCCATCTCTCCAGCCCCGAGCGGACACATTTTGACTCTAATAAACGTCACCATTATCGTCCTTCTGAGCCAAGTGGCAGGGCCACCAGGATTCCCGATGCCCTTGTCCCTGGTGTTGTCTGTGGCTCCCTATTAAAAAGTACAGGGAACCTTTGCATTCTCTCCTCCTCCCTAACGTGGCAGCCTCAGCAAAAGAGGAAGGAGAAGGCAGGGGAGGATGAGGAGGAGAAAGAGAAAGACCATGTCTCTAACAGACTTTCTGGCTGAGGATAGGGGGAGGGGAACTGGTGAAGAAAGCACCTTTGACCCCAAACCAGTCAACGCGACCAATGAAAAAAGTGACCTCACAGTGATGTGCCCATCATTAACATGGTAATGACAAGGATGTGTATCGGCCCCTCTGATTGGTCGTTCGATCATTTTCACTGCTCCGTGCCCTGCTTGGGAACCCAATATCAACTGGAGCAGTTTTTCCAAATGTTACTTTCTACTTCTTCCCCAAGGAATCTGCTCTGTGATGATGGGACAGAAAAGCCCCTAAGGAAATCTCCAGAGGGATAAATACAATTGCAGTACACTTACCTCACAAACCCAGCAATCCAGACAGGTTAATGGTTTTGGATTCACTGACTTAGAGGAACTGGGTTCCCTGCTCAGTGCCCTGAGTCTCGGTGAGGAGTCTCTAGGTAGCAGAAGGCCTGGAGAGGATTTTACTGATCAAGCGTAGGATAAAGACAGGGTGACTGTTCTTTCAATCAAGGTAGAAATCAAGATTCCAACAAAACACAGACTGGATGGCCTGGACCACCATAGGCAGCTTTAATGAACATCCACCTAGGAGAACCTATGATCCCTTTGGAGACAAATATCGAGATGGTTAAGATTAAGGCCAGTACTAGTATGGACGCTGGGTACTAGGATGGAGATCAGGGTACTAGGATGTGCACTGGGGTATAGGATGAAGATCAGAGTACTAGGATGTACACTGGGGTATAGGATGGAGATCAGGGTACTAGGATGGGCATCAGGGTACTAGGATGGAGATCAGGGTACTAGGATGTGCACTGGGGTATAGGATGGCCAGGATAAGGAGACAATGGAACTGAGATTGACATGATTACTGAGGCCGCAGAGGCCATGACTGAGACCATGACTCCATGACAGGCAGAGCAAGAAGAGCATTTGCTGTGGGTACTGTAGGGTGATGGCTACAGGGGAGGTGGGGCCCAATGAAGACCAGCAAAGGAGGCAGGATGATACTATGGAGCCCCAAAGATGATCTCTAGCTCTGAACGATTGTAGATGTCATGACAGAGGACTTCCCCAAGATCCAACCTGAATCGAAAGCCTCAGAGTACTCCAGTGGAAGATGATTCCTCTTTGAGCGCTTCCTCTCTTTGAGCTGAGTGGATTCTGTGGAGGAGCAAAGCCGCTAGAGAAGGAAATACAAGAGCGGAAGCGAGGGCAAGAAAAACTGCAGCCTCAGCTGGACAAGCCAAAACTGACCACAGGTCCAGGGCAAGTGAGAGAGAGAAAGAGAAAGGGGGGGAGGGAGGGAGAGAGGGAGGGAGGGAAGGAGGGAGGGAGAAGGAGAGGTTGGAAATCAAAGACATTTCATCTCAGTCACCAGAAGACCAGAAGGTGTGGGCTCAGGAGTTGCTGCTTTTCTCAAGGGAATCATCTCTTTGTTATCTTTGATTCCTGCTCCTGTCTGCCTTTTCCTGCTGCCTTCGCCCCTGGAGGTCAGGGCATTTCAGCTAATGGGCTGGGGTAGTGAATAGGGGTGTATAAATAGGGAGATCTGAGTTGCAGTCCTTCAACCTTGATTTGGGTGTTTTCAGGTTTCTACTGAAAAAGGCCCCCAGCTCTTAGTAAGCCACCATACCTCAGCACAACTGACTCCATGATGGGAGCACCATTCAGGCTGTAAAACTCAGCATGTAGACAGAACGACAAAACGGAAACAAAGACTTAACCCATCAAAGTCCATGCTTCTGAGAAAGCCCCTAAGTGTACTAACCTTGCTTTTTACTTCTGTTCTGCTCCTGGCTAACTGTTCTTGTTAACTGAAGCGTGTCAGCCTAGGATAAGGATTTTGTGCTTAAAAACTCCCCCTGAGAAAGGCTCAGTGCTATACTGGGATTCTGAACACCCTTGTAGTCACTGGCCAGCTAATAAAGACTTTATTGGCTTAAACCTGTGTCTGAGTTATCTTCTCTGGTGAGTACCCTACCACATACAAGTTTCCTTTACTGGAATCCCAAGCTGGTGCTCGGGTCTATCATGTGACCTACAGTGTGTGGCTTCCTGTTATGAGGGTGGATTCTTGACTTCCTTTGAGAGTAGAGAACAATAGGAAAAACAGCTGAAAGGCTTGGTTTCACTGGCAACACGGCAGCTTGACCTATGTGCTTTGACGTGCACCACTGTGGGCATCAGCTCCAGAGATGGCATGTTTTTCTGTTGGAGGAAGTCAGGGTACCTGCAGGCAAAAGACACCTCTGTCTCTCATGTGAGCACTAAGTTTAGTGTGCTATGCAGTGGGCATAGCAAACACTTATCCAGTGGAGTTGACGGCCAATAACTCTTCTAGAGGGATACCCATGAGGAATGTGGTTGTGGACAATGAAAGACAGTTTGCCCTCTTTGTCCCTTTGCCTTCAGACATTTGCACCCAAGAGAAAGTGGTTCTGACCCACTCTCCTAATTTGTGCCCCTGTTAAAGTAAAGCGGGTTGACTTAGGCTCTGAATACATGTAACATTTGTACAAAGCTATCTTCTGTGAAAACGATTTTTCAGTCTGTAGATATTACTAAGGAGATGCCTTGAGATGTAAAATCCTGTCCTTTGGTTAAGAGATTTTTGGCTTTCTCCAAATAAATTTAATCTTTAAGGATAAAAAATACAGATCACAATTGGGACATGCTGACACTTTCTGCCTGTTTTTTGCAAGTCACCTTCTCTTGTGCTGTTGGTTGTTCATAGTATAGTTTTCCCCATCTATCAGCAATAGTTATTCTGCCATAGTTTATAGATATCATGTGGGCAGAGCCAGTGGACCTAAGACATCATCTTGCCTACCTCCCTTTCCTCAGTCAAGAGGGGCCGAGGCTCACAGACTGAGTCTCCTGATCACAAACTAGCCGATATATCCACCCCACAACTTGTTTGATCTCTTATTCAGACTCTCTCTCTCCAAATAAACTACTGACCCAGCTTGACACATGGAGATTGGTTTTAATTTCACCGGTCCTTCCTGCAACCCTGTCCCCTTTATGGGCTGGCCCCTCGTCAAGAGTTCTATTCCCTGTGCTGTCACCTCCACCATCCTCAGCACCTCTGTCATCATATGGAAGGTGCCCGATGGACAGAGCGGGAGTTGGTTTAGCTGATGCTGGACAGAAAGGGCTGTGGCTCACAACACATTGTTCTGTGGGGAGGGAGGCTTGGAGCCTTCTACTCCCAGCTTTTCTGTTTCCCTGACCTTCCTATTACTCGCCCCTGCACACCCCTCTCTGTTCATACCCACAAACCACTATGTGTCTTTAGACCCATTCCCACAATCTCTAGTCCTCTCTGGTCCCTCAGTTCAGGATGCTGTCATAACTTTCCTTGACCCTCTAGCCGTCCGTATTAACCATACAGTGAGCCACAGAAACACAAACTTCTCAACGCTCAGTTCTATAGACTCACTCCCACACTCTCTGCCTTCCCAACTTTCATTGCTCTTGCTGTGATGAGCACCTGACAGAAAAGCAACTGAGAGGAGAAAGCTTTATTTTGATCTACAGTTCCAGGCTATAGTCCATCACTGAGGAAGTCAAGGCTGGAAGTCAAAGCAGTTAGCCACAATGTGTCCACAGTCCAGTGCAGTGAGAAATGAATTCATGCATGCATGCTTACCGGTGCACAGCCTTCTTTCCCTTATACAGTTCAGAACCCATACCCAGAGAACAGTGCCCCCGCAGTGAAGGAATTTACCCACCTCAATTAGAGTCATGAAGAAAAATCTCTCCCAAGTATGCTTACAGGACAACTTGAAGTAGACAGTCCCTCACAAAGACTCTCTTCTCACAAGATGCTAGGTTGTGTCGAGATGACAGTTAACGCTAGCTACCTCATTCCTCCTCCAACAAAATGCCTCAGTACCTCTAATCTGTCCAGGTCTTCTCCTCTGACTGACCTCTGTGTGGTCGGGGGAGGCTGTCACTAAGGAACCTAGAAAGTCTTATAGAACTTATCAAACTCTTTCAACTTCTCCTCTAGCTCCTGAGCGAGCACCCGCAGTTCTTTGGCTGACTCTGACTTTGCTCCGTCATATAAATGCATAGATTCTCTTACAAGGTAATACACATCGACTGCAAGGAAGACACCTGCAATGGCTGCCCCTCTGATTCGGGCCTTTTTGGTCATTGCCAGAGCAGTGCCTTCAAAGACATTCTTCACCTGACTAGCTTGTTGGGCAGAGATTCTTCTAGCAGTCATGAGGAGCTTGGCATCTGCCACTAAGTGAGGGTTGGCTCTGGCTACCCTAATGGCACGGATGTTTTGTCCCAAGGTTTTCAATTTACTGAAGAGACCATAGGACTTTCCAGAAAGTTTACACACGATCTTTCCCAGGTCAAGAACTTTCTTCATAGTGTCCATGGTGTCTGACAACAGGCGCTTGGCTTCGGCTTCATCTGACCACTTGCTTGTTTCTTCCACAACTACAGTGGCAGCACCAGTCACAGTAGCCACTGCCCCCAGCCCCACCCCAGTGGCTGAGAGCAGCAAACTGCCCCCTGCTGTCACAGGTGCCAGAGCTAGACCCAGGATGCCCAGGACTCCAGAGGTAGCGCTAGTGGTGTTGGTCACCACGTTGGAGATGGTGCAGCCCTTGTGCACCTGGTCGAGATGGTCAGCCAGAGCTCGGAGCTTCCTGATGATTTTCTCCAGCTTCCTTTTCAACTGAGGAAAATGTTCCGCAAACCTCTTCCTGTCCTGCAGTTCTTTTTGAAGCCGTTCTTTGTCCTCCACGACCGGGAGCTCTAGGAGCTGCCTCAGAGCCTTACGCAGTGCAGCTTCCTCATCTCTGTAACAGAAGAGGTCAGAGCATCAGAAAGACGGCTTGTTCGCTGTAAGATGGGTTCCCCAAGATCTATCTCATGCAAATCACAGAATTACGTTGTAGAACCAATGGGAAAGAGTTTTACTATGTGCAGGACTCTGCATTCTACAAGAAACCTCAGACTCTCTACATTCTACAGGGTGACCACAGACACTCAATGGTTCTTAGTCCGTAGGTGTCAGTGTGTGAAGTCATGTTAAGACACACATTAGTGAGAGGCACATGATAAAGACGGCTCCACTCAATGTCTGTGCCATGACTACCAAATATTTGCTCATGGGGAGCTCTGTAGGTGAGCACAGGGATATGGGATCAGAGCAAAACTGGGGACAATCTGGGAGTCCTGTGGAGATGACCTGGACAAGTCAGCCTCTGCTACCAGCACCTTCCAAGCGTCTTCTTTGGCCAACAGGAACTGCAGATCTCTTCTGCTTGCTGAGTCCTGCAGACACTCAGTGACTTCCTGGATGAAGGGTTTCCTCAATACTCGGGAAGAAAAAGAATGAGGTTAGAGGTCAGCAAGGAAGAGCCTAACTGGCAAAGAGCATATGGTACTTGATAGCCAGAGTATTCAGCATCTGCCATTGGGGCATGAATGGAGTCAGCAATGCTAGGGAATGTGTTGTGCCTTCAATTCACATATAAAAAGCTTTCTGGATGCAAACAGTTTTAGAGGTGGGTCTTTAAGAAAGAGAAGAAATGAGGATTAGATGATGTCATAAATACATACATGTCCCTAATCCATGGGAGTGTGGCACTGATAACAAAAAAAATAGACATCATGTGTATAATGTCATGTATGTATGTGTGTATGTGTGTGTGTGTGTGTGTATCCATCTATCTGTCTATCTTAGTGATTCTGAATCTCTCTAATGCTGCAAGCCTTTACTACATGTTCTCTGTGGTGACCCCTAATCATAAAATTACCTTTGTTGCTAATTCATAACTGTAAGTTTGCTACTGTTGTGAACCATAATGTAAATATCTGTGTTTTCTGATGGTCTTAGATGACCTCTGTGAAAGGGTCTTTCATCACCCAAAGTGGCTTAAAGCCACATGTTGAGAACCGCTGACCTATCTTCTTACCTATCATCTTTGATCCCTGTGTCTATGTGTCCCTTCCTCTACTTGGTCCCTTCCGGCCTCTCTGTCACCATGCACAGAGGGAAGACTATGTGCAGACTCTCAGGTAGCAAGCTCCTACTACATGCCAGGAAGAGTGCCCTCACCCACACCAACCCGCTGTTTCTTTGTTGTGGACTTTGATGTTCAGACCTGAGAGAAACAGGGGTCTTTGGTCCAAGCCCTCAGCCTGTGGGATCAAGTGATATCCAGTGTGCTGGAGAGTTTGGAGTTTCCTCAGACTTTGGGAGTTGTCCCTAAACCACGTGATTTCCTCCACTTCACCAGGCTTTCCTAACCCCCGTTAAGAGGCACAGGAGAGAGGAGGGGATCCCTGAGCATGCTCCCTAAGACAGAGTCAAAAAGGAGAACGCCTTATACCCAGGTAGCTGATACTCTGTTAGTTCATTTTGGGGACTCTCTTTCTATCCTCAACTCTACAAGTTCTCGATGCCCACACTCAGATCACACTCAGGAAAGAGCCAGAGAAGAGGAATCTATACCTTTGGAGGCCATGAGGGCTGCAGGGTCCTTGGTGCCAGGAGTGGGGTCTCTCACAGGTTTTCCTCACAACTATCTGGGAGTCTGGGCTAAAAGGGAGAGAAAAAATTTATAGGATGGAGTGGGGACAGCTTCATTGGAGGCTGGTGTCTCTGGGTTAGCAGGGCAACTAAGGTCGAATAGCACCTGGCCCTGGTCCCACCCCTGAAGGACTCAGTCCTAGGCCTCCTCTCACTCTTCCAATACCAAGCCAGAGCAGAGACCTCCTGTCCTGTTAGGTCCACGGAACATGGACGATCAGCTGGAGGTGGCCATGGGAAGGGACTTAGCCTCTTCAGAGAGATGAGGAGAAACATTCTGGTACTTGGGGTGGGAACTGTGTGCAGCAATGGTGACAATCCCTATTACATGAAGGGGTGTGATGCGTGGGTCTGGGCTGCCACGCTAAGGCTCATGGCTCTATGAAGAGAGGAAGAAACCCTGAATCTGCCCACTTGGACTGTCCTGCTGCATGCTGACACCTAATGGTGCATCAAGAAGGTCCTGCCAGAAGCAAAGCTGGTGCCTGGGCTGTCCTCTGAGCCTTCCCAATCTGCCAATGGGTGCTATATAAATATCAATATCTATTTTGGTAAGTCATGTCTGCACAGTTAGCTTCTTATAGTCCCAAATGTTCTGAGTCCCTCTTGCTGGAGAGGAAGATGAGTGTTAGTCTTTGCCAAGTAGGGCTTTACCTCCTGCTCTTCGTCCACAGACAAGGTTTCCACGGATACTCTGGACACAACTGGCCCTCACTTCCTGCAGCACACATCTAGACTCTCCTTCAAGCTTCCCCTGACAAGCCCTGGTCCTGACAGGTTCTCTCTGCCAGCCTGGTGCAGCTGTGGATCTCCGTGGTGAGCTTTAGTCATCACCGAGAATAACCACCACAGGCAGGCTCACTGGATGACGGGAGTGTCCTTAGCCTTCGGGCAGAAGACACTGACTACTCAGACACCTGCTGCTTCTGCCATGTGGGGAGGGAGCAAGGAGGCCAGGCTGTGACAAGGCCTCCCTGCCAGGACAGCTTCCTTTTGCTCCCTTACCCACAGCTGCCCTGGCCATTCCCAGGATAGTCCATATGTAACTGCGGGTCTTCATTTACCTCAGTAGCCAGACATAAGGAGGCTGATGGCAGAGGTTCTTGCTAGAGGCACCTGTATGACAGGAGAGCTCAGGTCCCTACCTCATGTGCCCTGTTTTATAGGCTACAGGACCCCAGAGGCTGTCAGGAAGAAAGACTGGCATTTGGGGTGATCTTATACTCGGGTGAAATGTCTGCCCTCTGAGTTTCCTGTCTCTGGTCACTCTGTGCTGGTGGCCTAGCCCAGTGGTCAAGCCCTTGTCCAGTGCATAGGTCCTGGGACTGGCACCTAGTGCCACAAAAGAAATGAAAGGAAAAGAGAAAGGCCAGCTGTCCTTCATGCTTCCTTTAAGCCCTTCCCCCCACTTAATCAGCTACACACAGAGCCTCTTAGCACTGGCATCCTGTGGATGTGAGTCAGGAGGGAGGATAAGTGACCCCCAGACCTTCCATTCTGATGGCCAGCTGAAGCCCAGGCTGGGAGTGTCATCTCCCTAGTTGTGCAGAAGCTCTTCAGTGGGGCAGATAGAGGCTTTCAGTAAGTCTCGATTCCCAGTGTGTGTGGAGAATCTTCCTAGGGCAAGGAGACAGGGCTCAGGACAGCACGAACCTGGGGATCGTTAATTAGCTCCCAGGTTCACATTCAAGCTGATTTACCCTGGACAGAGGGTCTCCTGCCTACTACAGCCCCGTCCTCTTTCCATCCCTTCTCCTATTTCCTCTTTTCTCCCCCACTGCACCCACAAGCAACTTACAGGGATCCAGGACTCTGATAAGTCTCTTCCCTCACAAGAAATGTCTCCAGTCCCATGAGGTGCCAGAACCAAGCAGGACCGCCTCATTCCATGTGCCCAGCGTGCCACTGTCTGGAGACATTCTTTGGCTATTGAGGCACTAACTTCTGAGGACATAGCCCCATTTGAGGAAAAAGTATGGATTAAAATTTTAATAATAAAATCATCATCGTCATCATCATCTTAAAGCTCTGGTTTTACAGGCACAGAGATAATCTCCTCTACCCCTACCTGTGGTCTGGCCTTTGACCTTGTGATAACAGGACTCAAAGAGCTAAATATGGGGTTGTACAACTTGTCCCTCCATGCCCCACACTGTGCCCTGCCCACCCAAACACACAGGACAGTCTGTCTTCCTTCTCCACCCTTCACAGGCTGGGCAGAGGCTGGGGAGGCCCAGGGGAGGCGGGCCTGTCTCCCACCTGCTCAGCCTGCTTCACTGAATCCTCAACAAGGCACCCCCATTCCCACAGGGCCTTGGCACGGACACATGCTCAGAGACACAGTGTGCGGCACAACTCCTGGGCACCTTGAAGCCCCCAAGTGGAATCTGGTCTTGGCAGCAGTAACTACCCAGGGCCAACCACAGGACACATGAACCAGTGAGCTCTGGATTGTCTGCCTGCTTTTCTCGACACCATTCATTTCCTCCATTTCCAAAGGAGTGAGGAGGCCCCACAACAGCCACCTGCCCTGGGAGCCTGCTGGCCAGGTCTCAGGCAGACTGGCACTTCAGCAGAGCCTTGAGGACCTTGGTGATCTCCCCTGATCATCTATCTCTGCAAGAGCAGCTGGGAGTTGGAGCGGGTAGGTGGGGTTAAGAGGCTTACCGAAAAATCTTCCCGTGGCTGAACTGGAATCTTCCCTGTGTATCAGCTCAGTAGCTGTACTTCAGCGTCCCAGTAAGGAGCAGCTTCCTGCTGGTTAATACCCGAAAAATTGAAAGTGAAAGCCCTAACTTGCTGAGCAAAGTACAGCCCACACAATAGAATGCCCACGTCTAGGGTACCACCCAAAGTCCCACCCTCCTGGCTGACCTACAGAAAGGAAAAAACCTAGCTCCATATCCCAACCCCCCTCAATGCATGACACCTTGGTTGCGAGTTCTCTGTGGAATTCAGGAAGGAAGACCCGACATGACAGATTGTGGGACCTTCCATAGATCACCCCCTAAATGACCCTGCCCTGTCCACTTACTCTCTCCAGCAGAACATTTCTTCCTCCTCTTCCTCCATGTCTGCACAGCTCTCATCCGGGAGTCTGTTTATGCAGACAGCCGTGCTGCTGCGTTCACCAAGTCTGGCACCTGGGTATCTACCTGCATGGGTTTCTCATGCCTCCAGCTCCTGTGATGCAACCTAGAACCATCATTATTGCTTCCTCTCAGAAGCACCAGCATTCCCCACAGCAGACTCCCCTGTTCTCTTCTTGGCTCCCACAGTACTTGGGGTCAAAGTCCACTGCCTGGACAAATCTCTTGTCTCTAAGCTCAATGACTGTTGAATGGTCCTCCTTTTCTCCTAACAGAAGGAACTTCAAGCAAGGCTGGACTCCAGGGGCCAACAGAGATGGGATCCTACATGTATATCCTTGGGACTTGGCCACCCCAGTCCAGCTTTTCAGAGAAAGATAGCAGGTGACACTAGCTCTTCATATGACTGCTGGGAACTCAAAATTTACTATATATTTGGAGTTTTAAAATCATCTCTAAAAAACTAAACATCTCAGTGTCTTATCAATGAACACATCATCGTTGTCGGTAATGGGGGCAGGTGTGATATTTTTACTGGTGGGAACGGGTATGTTCAGAGGTAATGGCTTCCGTACCACAGTTCAGGAACCAATCAGGACTCAAGTCAAGATCCACATTCAGAGAGTTGACACTTGGGAGCACACTTTCCTTTTGAAAGTTATTTTTTTTTTTCTGTAGCCTTTCTTGTTCTCATTCTTCCCTCTTTCATCTGTATGACTTTGCTCAACAGCCAGAGGACACCACAGTGAGATGCAGAACCATGAAAATGTCCACGAAAGCTGTGGGGCAGCCATGATGGAGACCCACTGATCAGGGCCCAGAGAGAACTGGAGCATTAATACACAACGGAACAGAGTCAGGGTGGGGCCACAGAACCCGGCTGCAGGTTCAGCTGAAAGAGACAAAAAGGGTTTCCACCCCCAGCTATATAAGCAGAGGCCATCCTGAAGATTAACTAAAGAACAGTTCAATTGACCAGTAATATGGCAAGAAATGTCACCCAGGGTAGCTGCCACATCAGGGATTGGGATGTTGAAAAGATCTTTGGTTCAGAGGCAATTGCAGCCAATGGAGATATGATTATTATTATTATTTCTTTCTTTTTTCATAGATGTAAACTGTCCACTGTTGTGTGATGTTTTACTTTTGGCTTTTTGGGGGTGCACACCACCCACCTCCCAAATAAATCACGCACAGATGTTTATTCTTAGTTATGACCGCGCGGCCTTAGCTTGACTTATTTCTTGCCCACTTTTCTTAAAAGTGGGGTCATCTGCCTTTGCCTCTGGGCTTTTATCTTTCTCTATATCTGATACCTTTCTTTCCTTCTTACTCTGTAGCTGGCTGGGTGGCTGGGCGCCAGGGTGGCTGAGCCCTGGTGTCCTCCTCTCCTTGTTCTCTCTTCATCCTTGGTCCCTCTTGGTTCTGCTTTTACACATTCTGCCTGCCAGCCCCACCTATCCTTGCTCCTGCCTCGCTATTGGCCTTTCATCTCTCTATGGATAATCAAGTGTTTTCGATAGGCACAGTAACACAGCTTCACTGAGTTAAACAAATGCAACGTAAACAAAAGTCACACACCTGAAAATAATATTCTCCAACAGGCACCCATCTCCATCCATACCCCACCGTCTAGTAGTCACTTAGACTACTAGAATTACTGCACCCGTTTCTTGTACCTTTCTGAGCCTTAATGCCTAGTTATTTCATTCTATTTCTCTTTCACTGCCTGAATTCTATGGCCATAGCACCAGTATCCTATTATCTTGCAGGAATTATACTTATTTTTTTCATATATGCTATTGTTGTGTAGCTTCGTCCTCTTATGGGACTCCTAACAGCTGGAATAGGAGCTGTCTCCAACCCCTTTACTGGATTTTGGGACCCCATTTCTAATACTGGGTCACCTTGTTTTATTGATACTCATAGAAGACCCACCGTTTCCTGGTTGTTGATGGAAGAACAGGGGAAAGGAGAGTGGAAGGGGAATATGGGAAAGAGGGACTGGGAGGGGAGGGTGAAGGGGAGGCTGTGGTCAGAATGTAAAATAAGTAGATGAATAATAACAACTTTAAAAGGGGTTATGTGACTTAACGCAATGGGAAGTAACCCTGCAATGACTTTGGGAGGCAAAAGGTAAACACCAGCACCACCTAGTGGAGCTCAGAAGGGTCACCAGCCAAGGTACAGGACCATTGTGGTCACCACTGCACAGCTCACATTCTGAAAATGACAGACCTCAGACAAGGTGGATATTGCACTGGCTGGCTCAAAACAGAGCCTACCTCTGTGCTGACCTCACTTTCTCTAGGGACCATGGAGGGGACAAGGATTTCCCAACTGAACATGTGTCATGGGACTTCTGGAGTCACACAGGCATCGACACAGACAAACCTGCCACGACCGCAAAGCACAGAGAAGGAAACTGGACCCCACGCTGACGTCCCTGGGTGACTGCCTGGGAGGGGAAGGGTCCTGACACTCAGCCTGGCTTCCACACTCATCCTCAGGACAACAGTGTCTTTGCTCTGAACAATGTGGGAATTGCAACGACAAATTTGAGCCAAGTGTAAGACAACAGAATTGAACCCATGACCGTAGTATTTCCATGTTGGAGTGAAGATAGCTCTGCCCTCTGTGTGATGTACACTGTGCTCACAATGGTCAGGAGCAACAGACACATTGCTGAGTGGACTCAGCAGCCTTGTGATTCCCGTTTAAACAGGGTTAGAAACTTACTCAGAGGCTGGTGTTTAATTGAAGACTCTACCGATTACTGAGGCAGTTGCCAGTGGGCTTTAGACAGAGAGGATGAGACCTCAAGTTCAGGAGAGTCCCACATAGATGGAGAAGAAGGGCAGCAAGGGCCAAGGGCACCACAGTCCTCAGCCACCAGGAAGGGGTAGCTGATGTCACTGACGTGCCACAGAACGGCTTTAAAACCCTTGGCACTTGACTTTGGTAACCAAGGAGAGGACAAAGTACAGAGTTGCCATGTAGCCCAGTCTCCCATTTCTGAGCAAACCCGAAAAGAGCAGTCTGACATTTGACACCCACACTGTATGTGATTCAGATGGACCAACTTGCGTGTCCACTTTTGCAGGAATGGACATGAAAATCCAACAGTACACATACGAATGTTCTTCCCCATTACAGAAGCAGAAGAGTCTGACACACGCTAAAGCCATGGGTGAGGCCCCAGGACATCAGAGCAGGTGGAATGTACTACACAGAGAAAGGCACATCCCATGTGAGGACCTTCAGCAGCGAGGTCCTGCCGAGGACCTGTGGCCAACAAACATACATGACACATAGTCCTCTGTGTCTCTTTATGTGTGGGGTCTCTGACTGCACTTAAAGGACCTGGCAGGACCTGACTTCTAATCCTCATTGGAGGGGGTTAGCTGTAGGCAGGGATCCTTTGGAGGCCCTGATACCTAGATGGGGAGGAAGAATGTTGGCTGTAGGGGAGGATTTACCTAGAAAGATCTGAAACCTTGCCCTGTGTCCTTGGCATTCGCTAAAGAAGAGGGTGTTTCTGGCAAGACCTGATGCCTACCTAGCCATGTATGTGTGCATGTCTTTGGCTATAACAGAGGGATACCTTGCTGAAGTCCTGTATGCACTGATATAATTCTGATCCTTCCGTATCCTCCATCTAAATCCTTATATATGTCTGTAGTAGCAGAATGGTAGATGTCGGGTAAGTCTTGATGCCTAGCATTGTACGGGTGACAGCGTCTGCACAGGAGTGGCACTAGGACCCGATACCTAGAAGCTTGTATACGGTGGTGACATGGTTTCTAGCAGGGCATGAAATATCGCCGTGTTTGTTGACCAGCAGTGTATAAGCAGTGTATGATAAGGTGGTCTGACACCTAGCGTATCGTTCGGGAGGGCAGGCTGGTGTTCAGGTGGACGTGATCCACACCACTCTCTATGCCGTTACAGTGGGGGCACAGCAAGGCACAGTAACTAGTAGTAGGGCCTCATGCACAGCACTGTGTGGTTGGGGGAAGAGTCGGCAGAACTCAATGCCTAGCTCCGTGGGTGTGACAGGCTCAGAGGAAGGGTGTCCAGCAAGGCAAATACTTGGCAGGCAATTTTGGGTGACGGGGAGAAGCTTCCAACACAATCTGATAGCTTGTGGTGTATGTGGGGTAGGAGGTCAAACGAGACCACCTGATACCTAGAAGTAGCTGTGTGGTCACAGGAGTGTAGGGGTGTGTAGGGATAAGTCCCGCCCCTTAAGGGGCGTGTTCGCCTCGGGCTAATGTCTGCCTATAAATTTGGCGAGCAAGCTCCGAGCTCGCTTCTGCTTTCCTGGTCTCTGCGGAACGGTGGTTCTGTAAGTCTATTTCTACATTAAAGCTATATATATATATTTTTACTCTCTGTCTGCATTCGTTTACGCCGCTACATTTTGGCGTCCAACGTCGGGCTATTTTGCCCCCGACTCAAGCGGGTAGCCCGCTACCTAACACAGCACCCTCCCGGGTGCTGTTTTTCAGTTCGTGACTCCGGCCCCAGTGCCGAGTCCGAGACCCACTCGGCGACACAGGCCCATTCTGCCTGCCTTGGCTAAGTTTTGCAGCAGAACCCCACTGCCTGAATTAGCAGAAGCTCAAGTACTTGCGGTTTTGCAACAAAAGCTGCCACAGCGTCAGATTTGGTCTGTTACAAAGTGACTTGGCCGGTTGTGGTGGCGCACGCCGGTAGGATTTGCTGAAGGAGGCAGAGGCAGGAGGATCACAAGTTTGAGGCCGGCCAGGCAGTGGTAGAGCACGCCTTTAATCCCTGCACTTGGGAAGCAGAGGCAGGCGGATCTCTGTGAGTTCAAGGCCAGCCTGGTCTACAAGAGCTAGTTCTAGGACAGGCTCCAAAAACACAGAGACCACCACTGGCAGGAACCGATCATTGCAGGTAAAAAAATTTTCTTTTATAAATAAAATGTCTGAACACATTACTGTTCAAGAATTTAATGATTTTTTTAATTGTACCATGTGGGAGATTTTACAAGAGGTGTCTATCACCCCACATATATGGATCCTTCTG